TAATTGATATTTATAAGACATTCCACCCAAAAGTGGCACAATACACTTTCTTCTCAAGTGCACATGGAACATTCTCCAGGACAGATCACAACTTGGGTCACAAAAAAACCCTCGGTAAATTTAAGAAAATGGAAATCATATGAAGCATCTTTTCTGAACACAACGCTATAAGATTAGAAATTAATTACAGGGAAAAAAACGTAAAAAACACAAACACATGGAAGGTAAACAACGAAGAGATCACTGAATAAATCAAAGAGGAAATCAAAAAATACCTAGAGGGCTTCCCTGGTGGTGCAGTGGTTGAGAATCCGCCTGCCAATGCAGGGGACGTGGGTTCATGCCCCGGTCCGGGAGGATCCCACATGCCGCGGAGCGGCTGGGTCCGTGAGCCATGGCCGCTGAGCCTGCACATCCGGAGCCTGTGCTCCGCGACAGGAGAGGCCACAGCAGTGAGAGGCCCACGTACCGCAAAAAAAAAAAACAAAACCTAGAGACAAATGACAATGAAAACATGACAATCCAAAACCTATGGGATGCAGCAAAAGCAGTTCTAAGTGGGAAGTTTATAGCAATACATTCCTTCCTCAAGAAACAAGAAAAATCTCAAATAAATAATCTAAGCTTACACCCAAAGGAACTAAAGAAAGAAGAACAAACAAAACCCAAAGTTAGCAGAAGGAAAGAAATCATAAAGATCAGAGCAGAAATAAATGAAATAGAAACAAAGAAAACAATAGCAAAGATCAATAAAACTAAAAGCTGGTTCTTTGAGAAGATAAATGAAATTGATAAACCATTGGCCAGACTCATCAAGAAAAAGAGGGAGAGGACTCAAATCAATAAAATGAGAAATGAAGAAGAAGTTACAACAGACAGTGCAGAAATACAAAGCATCCTAAGAGACTACTACAAGCAACTCTATGCCAGTAAAATGGACAACCTGGAAGAAATGAACAAATTCTTGGAAAGGTATCACCTTCCAAGACTGAACCAGGAAGAAATAGAAAATATGAACAGACCAATCACAAGTAATGAAATTAAAACTGTGATTAAAAATCCAGGACCAGATGGCTTCATAGAGAAGAGCTAACACCTGTCCTTCTCAAACTCTTCCAAATAATTGCAGAGGAAGGAACACTCACAAACTCATTCTATGAGGCCACCATAACCCTAATACCAAAACTAGACAAAGATGTCACAAAATAAGAAAATTACAGACCAATAACACTGATGAATATAGATGCAAAAATCCTCAACAAAATACTAGCAAACAGAATCCAACAACACATTAAAAGGATCATACACCATGATCAAGTGGGATTTATCCCAGGGATGCAACTATTCTTCTATATACTCAAATCAATCTAAGTGGTAAACCGTATTAACAAATTGAAGAATAAAAACCATACGATCATCTCAATAGATGCAGAAAAAGCTTTTGAAAAAATTCAACACCAATTTATGATAAACACTCTCTGGAAAGTGGGCATAGAGGGAACCTACCTCAACATAATAAAGGCCATATATGACAACCCACAGCAAACATCATTCTCAATGGTGAAAAACTGAAAGCATTTCCTCTAATAACAGGAAAAAAGACAAGGTGGCCCACTCTCACCACTATTATTCAACATAGTTTTGGAAGTTCTAGCCACAGCATTCAGAGAAGAAAAAGAAATAAAAGGAATCTAAATCAGAAAAGTAGTAAAACTGTCACTATTTGCAGATGACATGATCCTATACATAGAGAACCCTAAAAATGCCACCAGAAAACTACTAAAACTAATCAATGAATTTGGTAAGATTCCAGGATACAAATTTAATGCACAGAAATCTCTTGCCTTCCTATACACTAACAACGAAAGATCAGAAAGAGAAATTAAAGAAACACTCCCATTCACCATTGCAACAAAAGAATAAAATACCTAGGAATAAACCTACCTGAAGAGGTAAAAGACCTGTACTCAGAAAACTATAAGACACTGATGAAAGAAATCAAAGATGACACAATCAGATGGAGAGATATACCATGTTCTTGGATTGGAAGAATGAACACTGTGAAAATGACTATACTAACCAGAGCTATCTACAGATTCAAAGCAATCCCTATCAAATTACCAATGGCATTTTTTACAGAACTAGAACAAAGAATCTTCAAATTTGTATGGAGACTGAAAAGACCCCGAATAGCCAAAGCAGTCTTGAGGGAAAAAAACGGAGCTGGAGTAATCAGAATCCCTGACTTCAGACTATACTACAAAGCTACAGTCATGAAGACAATATAGTACTGGCACAAAAACAGAAAAATAGATCAATGGAACAGGATAGAAAGCTCAGAGATAAACCCACACACCTATGGTCAATTAATCTATGACAAAGGAGGCAAGGGTATACAATGGAGAAAAGATAGCCTCTTCAATAAGTGATGCTGGGAAAACTGGACAGCTACATGTAAAAGAATGAAATTAGAACACTCCCTAACACCATACACAAAAATAAACTCAAAATGGATTAGAGACCTAAATATAAGCCCGGACACTATGAAACTCTTAGAGGAAAATATAGGAAGAACACTGTTTCACATAAATCACAGCAAGACCTTTTTTGACCCACCTCCTAGAAGTAAAAACAAAAATAAACAAATGGGACCTAATGAAATTTAACGAGCTTTTGCACAGCAAAGGAAATGATAAACAAGACGAAAAGACAACCCTCAGAATGGGAGAAAATATTTGCAAACGAGTCAACAAAGGATTAATCTCCAAAATATATAAACACCTCATGCAGCTCAATATTAAAAGAACAAACAACCCCATTAAAAAATAGGCAGGAGACCTATATAGACATTTCTCCAAAGAAGACATACAGATGGCTGAGAAGCACATGAAAAGCTGCTCAACAACACTAATCATTAGAGAAATGCAAATCAAAACTACAATGAGGTATCACCTCACACCAGTTAAGTGGCCATCATCAAAAAATCTACAAACAATAAATGCTGGAGAGGGTGTGGAGAAAAGGGAACCCTCCTGCACTGTTGGTGGGAATGTAAATGGATACAGCCACTATGAAGAACAGTATGGAGGTTCCTTAAAAAACTAAAAATAGAATTACCTTATGACCCAGCAATCCCACTACTGGGTGTATACCCTGAGAAAACCATAATTCAAAAAGACACATGCAGGGCTTCCCTGGTGGCGCAGCGGTTGAGAGTCCGCCTGCCGATGCAGGGGACACGGGCTCGTGCCCCGGTCCGGGAAGATCCCACGTGCCGCGGAGTGGCTGGGCCCATGAGCCATGGCCACTGAGCCTGCGTGTCCGGAGCCTGTGCTCCGCAACGGGAGAGGCCACAGCAGTGAGGGGCCCGCGTACTGCAAAAAAACAAACAAACAAACAAAAAGAAAAAAAAAGACACATGCACCTGTGTTCATTGCAGCACTATTTACAATAGCCAGGTCATGGAAGCAACCTAAATGACATCAACAGACAAATGGATAAAGAAGATGTGGTACACGTATACAATGGAATATTTCTCCGCCATAAAAATGGAACAAAATTGGGTCATTTGCGGAGACGTGGATGTACCCAGGGACTGTCATACAGAGTGAAGTAAGTCAGAAAGAGAAAAACAAATATTGTATATTAACTCATATATGTGGAATCTAGAAAAATGGCAAAGATGAACCGGTTTGCAAAGCAGAAATAGAGACACCGATGCAGAGAACAGACGTACGGAAACCAAGGGGGTACAGTGGGTGGTGGGGAGGCATGATGGTGGTGGATGAATTGGGAGATTGGGATTGACATGTATATACTAATATGTATAAAACAGATAACCAATAAGAACCTGCTGTATAAAAAATAAATAAAATTCAAAAGAAAAAGGAAAAGAAATTTAAAGTGAACGACAAAATAAATAAATAAATAAAAATAAAGTAAAATAAGATGCGGTTTCCTTTTTTTCCTTTTTTAACTTGCCAAGATAAACATGAGTGGATCAAATAAAGAAGATATATACTGAATCAAGTATGGGAAAAATATACAGCCTTCTGGTTTCTAAGTATCTTATCTTGAGAACAAGTGACCTATTATTAAATTCAATACACAAAAAAGTACACACTATCTTTGTTATTCCTCATTGGGCAGGGATGACAGTTAACCATATAAACTATGTTGACAATATTTTGTACTGGAAAAAAATATGGTTCTGTTAACTACCCATAATTTCTGTTCTCAATCGAATCCAACATAGGGGACATATTATATCTCACAGACAATAGTTTACTATAGGGTCTACATCTACAACTCTAGTCCTTCAACAATGTTAGGAGGTATGACAAATTTCAACCCCACATGAATTAAAATGATGGTTCACATAGAAACCCCCACGAATGGAATAAGCTGGATCAAAGGATATCTACACTAAAACAGACAATATTTTACCAAAGTTTCTTAACCTTTATTTCTAAAATAAGGGAAACAGGGGTTTCCCTGGTAGCACAGTGGTTGAGAGTCCGCCTGCCGATGCAGGGGACAGGGGTTCGTGCCCTGGTCCGGGAAGATCCCACATGCCGCGGAGCGGCTGGGCCCGTGAGCCATGGCCACTGAGCCTGCGTGTCCGGAGCCTGTGCTCCACAACGGGAGAGGCCACGGCTGTGAGAGGCCCACGTACCACAAAAAATAATAATAATAAAATAAAATAAAATAAGGGAAATACAGTTTTAGTATTTAATTGATCCACATATTCTAGGATGTTTTAACCAGAAACCCATCTACTTCCAAACTTAAATAAAAGACAATCCGTAATACGCCAGAGTGCACACAGGCCCATTTGTGTGTGCGTGTGTGTTTGCATGATCACGTGTATGTGTACCTAACAAGCAAGTTCTGTGTGGTTCTCCAAAGTTGTAACTGACTTGCCATGGGTACTGAAAGAAAACACTTGTAAGTAAAAGACTGAGCATTCCATTTTAAAGCTCTTTGTGGAAGTAGCATACCTGTGCCCTCTTCTGTACCTCCAGGAGGAGTTCGGAGTACTGCAGCTCCAGTTCCTTCTTTTGCTTGTGCCAGCAGCTCTCCTGGGCTTTGATCTGCTCTGTCACTTTGTTAAAGGTGTCTTCCTGGGTTTGCTGAAGCTCTCTCATCGTATCAGACTTGTTTTTACAGATATACTCTAGATGACTTATCTAAATGGGGAAATGCAACAAATAAGATAGGCTCACAAACAAGTCCTTTGTATCATCTCCCCCAAAAGCTATTCCAGAATTTTCTACTACATTTTATTCCTTAAGATCATATAAAAATTTTAAGTTAAAATGAAAAAAAATTAAGAAACAGGAATTAGTACAACAAAATTATATTTTAGCAGAAAATGTGTGATTGCATGTATAGATGACATCTATTCTTTTTCTCTAATAAAGTTACTTATTCTATAATCAATTTTACTGAGAAAATTAAGAAGAATATTTTAACCTCTAGAAGCAAAACTCAAACTGTTCAGATACCTCAATGGGAAAGAAGTATTTAAATGAGATTTACAAATCTACAAACATTTTACATATAACAAAGAAGAATGTTCCGACCATTTTTTATTTCACATTCAAAACACTGGAGAGAAAATCCTCATCATCTAATGTGTATGACAATTAATAATATTTGAAACTACGAAAAACTATTGAAACACAATACCATCTCAGAGGATTAAAACATGTACTCATTTTCATTATCAGTACTTTTCAAATCCGTTATACACATAGTCACAATCAAGAACAGCATCTCCACTTCTCACAATTTATTCCCTCATTTCCTCAATCCTACTTCTCAGTGCCTATGATTGTTCGCCAATCGGACCAAGACAAAATGCTCTTACTCTAAAACTGGACCGAGATGCTGATTACTTCAACAGAAGTAATGAAAAAAAAACTCAGGGAACAGTTTTTCTCTCTGTGTCCCTTAAGAGCAAATGTCACTGCAACTAAGATCTGGAAACTAGATCACATAAATATAGTTCTGACTAGTTCAATAGACCTGGGATAAGAATCAATACCTTAAATGGAGGAATACATTGGACTGCTAAGCCACTTTCATTTTCAATAACCAAAATGAGGTTTTTAAATTTTTTTTTGGAAAGACTGAATTCCTGGGTTTGTGAATGATAAAGGCACCATAATAGTCTACTGTTTTCTCCTACAATATATTCTTCTTACATTCTAAAGCACTGAATGGGTTTTGCAATATACAGTTTGTTATATTATAAGAAATATCATAAACGTAAGTTTTAAATTTTAAGTGCTTTTAAAGTAACACCTCATTATTTCCTGAGCAAAGAATTTTAAGATCATGTTTTGAATAACTGTATCTTGTTTCTATTTTATGCTAACATAAAGTGTTGGTTTATTAATGTAAATGACTAAGTTCTTTGAATTGCTTCATCAGTAAGATTAATTTATTTTCTTTTAATTAGGTCCCTGTGGCTAACACTGGCTAGCAGTATTAGCATGTCCTGAACAGAAAGTGGAGCTCAGAGACTTCATACAGACTTCAGTCACATTTACATGCCCATAGCAATGGCATCAAACTGAGTTGTAGACAAGCCATAATTAATGGTATTGAATTATTAACACCCAAATTCTTTTTGAAATAAGATGAATGTCAGCCCCTCTTAATGATACTGTGATGTGGACAAATGTCACTGAATTTAATAGAGGTATCTGGTGCCTGAGGACAGTTACCTTCTCATTAGCCCTGTTGAGGTCTACGATCAGGGCATCAACATTCTCCTGCAAAACTGCACAAAGCTCAGACCAAGAGAATTTATCCAGCATGCCTTCTGGTTGTTTTATGAGCACAGAGCCTGCTATCAAGTGCTGATACAAGGTATGAAGGAAGGTTAGCTTCTCCTACAAGAAAAAAAGAAATTAAATCCAGTATATAAACACCGTAAGAAGTAAAACACATAAGATACATGGTGAAGAATTTATTTCAAAAATCCTGGAAAGAAATGAAGATACTCAAGTATCAGAATATTGCCATTTTGGTGACTTTTTTTACATTCAAAATTAAGCATCAGGCAGAAACTTGAAATTGCTTACATTTATTTTCAAAACCGAAATCTCAAGTCTGGAAGCCAGAAGACCCGGGTTCTGACACCAGCTCTGCTACTGCTAAGGACGTGATCTGAGTAAGTGTCTGTTCAGACCTCACCTTCCCCAGCTGTAACATGAGGTATCTGGACTAGTTGTTTCTAAGCCCTTCTAACTGGAACTTAGTATGGTAATTCTATAATTTCATATTTACATTTACCAAAAAAGATGTTATTTAAGTCAAAAAACCAATATAAAGAGAAGAGCGTTACCCAGCTCTGTTGAAGAGAAAGTTATACCAATATCTGTACTTTACATGGACACAAGTATTCAGCTTTCCTCCTCCTCCAGAGATTCCAGTTTACTTACCACTTACAGGAAATCTATCCCAAGCCCCCTAGGCAAAGCAGACAGTGATATGAAAGAGATGGAAGATGGGCTCATTTTTTTTCCCCACTTAGAAGTTCATACCGTATTTGGCACACTGGGCATTTGTAGGTGTCTAAATATTACAAAGTTAACAGTCCAAAAAATGGGCATAGCTGCCCAAGATATACTTCTAAAACTGTCTAATTAAAAATGTTTTAAAAAATCCTTTAAAATTATATTGCCATTGTCATAGTTAAACCATCCATTGTTTAATGGCCTAGAAACTCTATACTGCAAATTCAGTAAAAAGCTGATCCCATCTTGAACACACAAGGAGAGTTTAGTTACTAAAATGCTAAATGGCTCTCTTTATAAGGCATTTCATCTATAAAGTCAAAGAATGGAACTCAAGACAAGGTAATTGTGAGGCTGCAAAATGAGTATTTTATGTAGATAAAATAAGTTCCCTCAAGATTTTTTAACAGATCAGCAGGAAAACTTTTAAAAGAAGAAAATTTAAGAGGAAAAAATAGGAATTCTAATCTTCCAGATAAGAAAAACTGAATGTAGTATATGTAAAGGTTTTATAGTTAGAAATTGTGGTGAAAGTTTTCCAATATATATAAAATTGTGCGTCTTTAATTCTCCCTGTATGTCACCTTAGTTTTTTTCCAAATATAACAATTTAAAAACCAAAAAATTTGAATACGTAGTTATATCCACAAACTTGAGTTAGGATATCAGAAGAGTCTTCACAAATATGCTATGTCTTTTTCTTTTTTAAGCAATTAAAGATGTCTTTTGTATTTTCAACCAAGTTGAGATGTCTAAAAATCTTATTAAATATAACTAACCAAACAGAATATTCAGGCACTAAAAATCGTTCCTCTCCACATTTTGCCAAGTGATCGAGTTCTTCCGAAAGGGTAATTCATTGTGTTGCCATCATGTCCTTTTCGCTTGGGCTGTGATGAACCGTGCATGATAATCATCCATTTGGCGTGAAAAGAGAATCTCAAGATCCAAAATCAATTCACACATGTTGAACCCAACCACAATGCTGTAGACATGCTGACTTTACAATACAGTCAGGCTTCTAGTTTCCTTTACTTTAATCATTATCTGATGTGTAGAACAATTCCAGCCCCTTCATGTGGACACAATTTAAATCCCAGACTGTAAGAAGAGTGGAAAGAATGTTTCCTTTTTACTCTCTTGGCATTCATGTTCGTATTTGTTGGAGTAATGAACTCAATATGCAGGACGACTCAGATAAACTAGTTCCACACTAGCTAGACTAGCTCTACCTCCCATGGGTAAAAGAAAATATAAGATAACAATTCTACTCACACAGGCTCATACAGTTATATAAAAGTTTGTCATAATATTTTAAGAAGCCATTAATAAATTAACACAGATCGGTAACTCTCAAGGGCATCCAAATAAACTTTTAACTTTGTGGGACTTGTATTTTTCTAAATTTTGTTTAATATCCTACAATTATAAAGAGTAAGGTGACTGTCTATTAAAGTAGATATTACTCCTGTTTTGCAAATAAGGAAACAAAGATGTGGAGAGACCAAGCTATGTGGCTTGTCCATATTCACAGTTTGTAAATAAAAGTACCTCTATCCATGTCAATTCTTTCTGATTACAAAAAAGATTCTTTCCACCATGGCAGGCTACTAAACTACTGAAATAAAAAATAATTTTGTCATTGGCAAACAGGACTGTTAGGAGCATAGCTACTTGGGATAGGATGTTCTAATAGCGAAAATTACTTGTACAAATGATGAAAGGGTTCAACTACTTTATTTCTCTTGCAAAATAGGATCATACAAGAGTAATGGAATGACTGATTTTGCAGCTGGCATGAACATTTCAAAATAGCTCAGAAGAATTTTTTGAATTAAATCAAATAAGAATAAAAACAGACACTTGACAGATGTAAACTTCTAAAACTGAGATTAGTGCAAGGCCTTTCCTGACAGTCATCTTGTCTCAGGTAATACCTCGGTATCCGTATGGAAAGTCTGGGAACGCTTCTGCAGCTCACTTTCAGATTGGGCTGCTCGCGCCTTTTCTTTCTCCCAACAGTGCAGCACATTTTGTAGTTCCACTTTTAAAGTGCTTATTTGAGCCTCTCTGTCTGCACATTTAGTGCGTAAATGACTTAATTCTTTATTGACATCAGCCAATTTATCCTGAAGGTACTGTTGGAGACACCAAATAAAGAGACTGTATCAAGATGATAACATTTAAATATAAAATGTTAATTACTTACTCCAAAAAGCTCTTTGAGAGTTTTCCTTTCAACTCATTATAAGAATATAACTTGGTAGCCCAAAAAATTTTTCAAACTTGTAAATTACATTTTAAAAATAAATCTCTTACATTTACTATAAGAACATTTACTTCCCAATGACATTCCAAATACCAATAGAAATCTCAAATATGTGACATAAAATTCTGCTGAACTATTTACTCCTTACCCTTAACAAATTCTACTCAAGTATGTCCATGACAAACGACATGAACCAACACCAAAAAATCCCAACTCTGAACGTTGGACTAGTACAATTTTGCAAAGATGTAGTACATAAGACCAGCACAGAAAATAAAATAAACCGTTGCCCTAGACCTTAGCCAGGTGTGGTCACAGCCCACTATTAGGCATGATGTACTAAAAACAATGGCTCCACCCCAAAATGATGAAAACTGACCCCAAATACTGATGTGCTATGTAAAATATGCTGAATGTGTATCTAAGGCTGGATATCAAATCTTAAATCATTTTTTGAATCTATGGTATTATAATTAAATCTGGGAAATGAATTTTTCCTTTAACCAAAACAATTTCCAATCAAGTTTTATTTTTTTAATGAAAAACATTCTTCTTACTTTGACCAACAACAAAAAAAGTTTTTAATTGTATCTAAACATAGATACTTAGTCAAATATAGGAAGATACATTTTCAGATATCTCTACTTTAAAATATTCCCTAAAACAAAAAATTCCCTAAATAATTGTATTTGTTTCTTAATAAAAAAGGAAAAAGTTATTCTAAATCACAATACCTTTATATTTTTAGCATGAGACTCTACCTTCTGTTTGGTAGACTCAAGTTCATTAGATGTCTTTTCCTTAGCATGATTCATGTTGCTTAGCTGATGAAAGAAAATGTAAGTAAACTTTTAAAATATTTTTCAACGGTGGGTAACTCAAAAGCTAATCTTTAAATGTTTTTTATGCAATTACTTAAATACAAATTTTTTATAGTAATTCAGAGACTTAAAAAAATTATCTCTTTTGCTTAACTATGTAATTTCTGTCCCAAGTTCACATGACTAAAAAGAAAAGAAAGCATTCAAGCTTAAAATGTCGGTAATGTTATTGTGTTTTTACTAGATATCTGGATAAAGGATTTCATTCTTACTGTAAACAAATACAACTTTATTCTTAAAATCCTACTGGACCAAAATGCCAGAAGCAATGGTATCTATACAGAAAGAAAAAAGGACAGACCAGAAGACTGTTCTTTCTACATCACGAGAATATTCACTGGTCTCTCAGTCCATATGACAACTTCAGGGTCGGTCACATGCTGTCCTACTGGGAAGGCTTGTGGCAGGTCATCAGTTGGTCCTGCTCCGCTTGTGATTTATTTTCTTTGACAGTTCATTCTTCTTTCTGTCAGACTGCTCTTTTTGCTTTCTTTGCAGCCACCCCTTGGTCTCCCCACTGCTGTCTCTGGCACTGGTTCACAACAAAGCGCATTACTAAGCCAAAGCCTGCTGAGTCGACTTTTCAACTGTGCTGAGGATCATGTGACATTCATCCTCCCAAATAACAATTCGCTGTGGGTAATATGTTCCTAGTTACCCTGCAGCTTCCAGACCTAGGCCTCAGAAGAGTTTCATAAACTACTAACAATACAGGCTGTCTTGTCTCACTGAGAGTTAGCAATGTTTGCTCTTTATAGAAATTTAATTATTTCAGTGGTCACTTTCTTTTATGCCTTTTGAACAATTACAATTACTGAGGGCATTAAGAAGACTCACTTTTCCTTCTTTATTCACCTTAGCAAACTAAAGTAAAATATGCCTCTTCTTATGTGCAATGTAAGGGTTTCAAGGCCTTTGTATTACATAAAAGAAACAGATAAACAGAGGGATAAACACTAAATTCCATGCTATGTGGATTGTCTTTGGTTGGAACAATTGTTTGTTGCTTTGCTAACTAATTGTGTTTAATGTAGTTACTTCATATTCTCTAATTTAACAAGATGTAACTAAATAAACTCTTCAATTTTTAAAGCACAAATTCATAAAACATTTTAATACCCAAGAAAATTATCAACCCACAAGTTAAACAATACAAAAGAGAAGATAAATAAAAGCATGAGCTTTTTCAATCAGGAAACTAAAAACCTCCAAGCTACATCAAACAGATATTTGTTTTTAAAACCTTCTAATGCTTTACTCCCTTTAGAGAATGCACACTAATTTCTTTTTTATTGACTTCTACAATTTGTAGAACTCCTAAGCCAAAATACTGGCAAACCCTGAATTTCCAGTACCTATTCCAAATTTCATAAAAACACATTAACATTTAAATATAACATATATTAACTAAGTGAGTTGCATAGCTCTTTTGTTAAATTAAAATAGATAAATTATGAAGACCAAGAAGTGACAGTCTTTATAACTTTGAAAATAGTAGTGTGACAGAAGAGAGACTGAGACCCAACTTTAGGCCACACTTAAAGAAAGAACAGTGACAGACAACTTGTTATTTTTTGTATCTGTGAAGCTGTCAAATCAACATTCCCAATACTTTTGACCTCTGTAACAAGCAAGTAATACGTACTGCTGCAGGCCGAAGGCTATGTGTGTGGAGCCAAACAGTGCAAGTGTTACCTCATTAGATGCATCTTCCAGCTTGTTCTGGTAATCTGTCAAGGTACGCCTCAAACTCTCAAGGACAACAGAGAAGCTGGGAGGTTTATCTTTGTCCCTGTGGATGCCTAGAGAAAAATACAGGATGAAAATATACCATTAAAGTCGCAAAGAGACAAAAGCTAAGCAAACAGTAACAGAGATATTACAATTAGATATAACTGAAAAGACATCATGATATACCGAGTAGAATCTTATTCTCCTAAGTATACTGCTGTATAGCCTAGTATTAATAGCTTTTCTAAACAAGTGATCAAATTAAGTTCATAATATATCAAGTCCAAATTTATGGCTACTTTGTACCTTACTATGCCCACCTTGTAGTTAGTAGTAAAGCTCTTTTTTTTTTCCTATTTCCAAGGTAACTAAAGTATTTGTACACACCTGTTATCCAACAATTAAATAAACAGTCTATACTAAACACTGTTTGGAGGAGTTACATACATTTACTTTGGTCCTTGTGTTTCTGATCAGTCAGGCCTATTTTTCTTAAACAATTTCTGAACACAAGAGCACATAATTTTCTGTTATGCTTGGAAATAATGTTCTTCAATCCTTAAAATTCTCAAGTTACAATTTGAAATAAATAATAAAAATACTATTATCTACATAGGCCACATCATGTTTCAATTAAAACCCTTAAAACTGATACTCATTGTAAAAATATGAGTATTTCCATATTATGCCCTCAAACCATTTTAATTTAGGGAGGCCATAAGTTAGGTGAGCTAATCAAGATCACATGGTCAAATGTAGTTTATTTTTAAAATTTTTTTTAAAGATTTATTATTTATTTATTTATTTTATTCATTTTTGGCTGCATCGGGTCTTAGTTGCAGCATGCAGGATATTTGTTAAGGAACGCGGGCTCTTCATGGTGGTGCATGGGCTTCTCTCTAGTTGTGGCGTGTGGGTTTTCTCTTCTCTAGTTGTGGCGCACAGGCTCCAGGGCACGTGGGCTCTGTATTTTGCAGCATTAGGGCTCTAGTTGAGGCGTGCGAGCTCAGTAGTTGTGCACACGGGCTTAGCTGCCCCTCAGCATGTGGGATCTTAGTTGCCTGACCAGAGATCAAACCCTGGTCCCCTGCACTGTAAAGTGGATTCTTTACCACTGGACCACCAGGTAAGTCCCTCAAATGTAGTTTAAAATAGTAATCCAAAATAATCAAAAGTTTAGTTTCAAAAAACACTTTGAACTGATTGCTTATTGTACTACTCATTAACTGTTAAAAATTAAATAGCAAATTTTAAAACATACTTACTAAAATTACTTTTATTTTCCTATATTTTCTCCCTATCATATTTTACAATCTAAATATTAATATCGATAAGAAGCATTCACAATACCTTTTTTATTATTCATTGATTCATCCATTCAACTAATTTAATGCATTTAATGCATTCCTACTATGTATTAATCCTAGGCATTAGGCACATGGAGGTAGATAAGAATGGTGTAGTCTCTATTCTCATAGAATTTACAGTCTAAAAAGAGGAGGTAAGATTGTAAACAAATAATTACATAAGATCATTCATCCATTCTTCAAGTACTCAGTTGCTGGAACTTTGGGGAGAGGAGGGACAAAGGCAGTAATACAGGAAAGAAAGAATGAATAAAGGGGAAAAAAATGTTTGGTTAATAACAGAACAACTTTATTCATATCAGAGTATTAGTGATAATTATTATTTTAATTTTGGACAAAATGTTATTAATAAACTTATTACATTCACCAAAGTATAATTTAAACACTATCTTAAGTATGGATACACCTTAGCTTTTCTTAAACAGAAGAATAATAATTAACTTAAAAACCAAACGTAGGGCTTCCCTGGTGGCTCAGTGGTTGAGAGTCCGCCTGCCGACGCAAGGGACGCAGGTTCGTGCCCTGGTCCGGGAAGATCCCACATGCCACGGAGCGGCTAGGCCCATGAGCCATGGCCGCTGAGCTTGCGTGTCCGGAGCCTGCGCTCCGCAACGGGAGAGGCCACAACAGTGAGAGGCCCGCGTACCGCAAAAAAAAAAAAAAAAAAACAAAAGTAATATGGAAACAACATATATCCCAGTTGGGGTGGGGGGGCGGGAAAGCCAGTGCTCTCAACCGTGAAAATGAAGAAGACAACACTCTTTGTAATGACTGTGAGTTGGAGAGAGAACTCATTAAAATTTTTATTAAAGGTCTTACCAAATATATTTTTAAAATATTGCTCTCTTGCACAAGATAAAAAAAAGTGTAATGTATAATTCTTTTCTTCTGCTACTACACAAGAAGGTCATGAATAAATCATTCGAGGACACCCAGGAAATCTTAGCTTATACAATAAGGGAGAAAACTTGCTCTTAGAAATCCAGAAGAATAAAATCATCATAATATGGGTGTTGAGGAATAAGGAGACAAAATGCCCTCTCCTTACTGACTCATGCACATCTTATATTCTACAAAAAAAGTTTCTTTGCCTGAAAATGCTTTTACAAGAAAGTTCAGCTGAAGTACAAAGTATGCCTTATGTCCCACCCACATTCATTATAAAAAGAAATACTTACTGGTCCCTTAACATGAAGAAAATATTTACAAATAAAAAGAAAGGGTCGCTCAGGACCCAGGAGCTTACTGACTAAAATTTTATTTAACCTAATAATATCCTAATCACTGTACTATTGCCCGCAAAACAATAAACTATTAAAGCTATCCTATCAGTGGATGGTCTAAAACCTCACAGTAAAGATTAAAAAAATAAAATAAAATAAAATTTTAACAGTAGTCATAAATAGCTTTTCAAAGGTTAAAGTCCAAATGAAGAACAGAATGTGTCAGCATGTGTCATTTATACTTCAATTACGCCAACTCAAAAATCTTCTGAGTTTCTCTGTCCCTGTCCCTATACACGTGTGTCTCTATACATGGGTGTCAGCCTATACTTTCACATCACTGCTGCCTGTCTCAGTCTCTTTCTCACTTTTAAGTATGTTTCGACAAGATATACCTTGGCAAATCTTTTCTTTGAAGTAGTAGCCCATAGGAGGGAGTGAGGAAGAGGAACAGGTCCCAAACCTTCTATTTAAATGTTCCCTTTTGGGGGCTTCCCTGGTGGCGCAGTGGTTGAGAGTCCGCCGATGCAGGGGACACGGGTTTGTGCCCCGGTCCAGGAAGATCCCGCATGCCGCGGAGCGGCTGGGCCCATGAGCCACGGCCGCTGAGCCTGCGCGTCCGGAGCCTGTGCTCCGCAACGGGTGAGGCCACAGCAGTGAGAGGCCCGCGTACCGCAAAAAAATAAAAATAAAATAAATAAATAAATAAATGTTCCCTTTTGGACAATCTGAAAAACTAAATACTTTTAAATGACTCAAATAAACCACTGTTTTTCAAGACGGTGTTATCACCTCAGTAACCCCACAGTTCCACAGGAGAAACAGTAGGCTGTAATGAATGAGGTGAGTCTATTTCCTCCACCTTGTCAACCATTCTCTTATCTACTTCAGTATCCTGCAAGACCTCAATTATTAAGAAATAATAGAGACTATAAAACAAAAGACTGAGCTTTTTTAAAAAAAAGATCTTTGTTGTAGAACATGCGTAGTCACGTTCATCCTCAGAACAAATAGGAAAAAAAGAAAAGAAAAACCCTGTTGTTTAATGCTGATTTTTAATCATGTAATAAGAGACAGAAAATGACATTCAAATGGGTTTTTCACCTGAGAAAATCTAAATATTTAATACATTGATGACTAAGAAAATTCTTTTTTCATTCTAAAAGCACTGAATATAAACATTTTGTTGGCAGTTATACTTTTGAAATTCAGACTACATTCCATATATTAACTTGTCTTATTCACTGAGATCATAAACAACCATATTCATTATCTTGCAAACACTGGTACCCATTCTAGAGTTTTTAAGGAAAATGACTCATAACTTCTCTAACATATGGACAGTATTTATCATGTAAATCCTGCTCACCCACCTACTCTGTCCCCAGGAAGAGTCCAAAAAACCTTTCCTTTACCAAGGTTTGAGAAATGTAATGGTTGGGGGGAGCCTCAGAATCGCTGATGAGCTCTGTATGGCTTGGTAGTAAGCATCTAGGCCAGGTAGCTGGAAAGCCATGGGTAACAGTGGGAAATGGTGCCACAAAGCTGGGTTCCCTGAATTCAGTGGGGATGCTGGAATCTCAAGTGACAGGCCAAGTGGTAGCACTTAATTTTCAGAGACAAAATGTACATGGTTACCATAATGGGCAGTGGATTCAAAGCAATAAACAAAATGGTTTTACCCACAGAGACCGCTGGCTTTGGCTAACTGATCATGGTGTTCCTAGGACTAAAATAGGCACTCTACTTGAATGTTACCCGATCTGTATAAGCAGAAAAGCTCTGGGTCTAATTACCAGAACTAGGAGTTAAATCAACACAAAAGACAGTCTTGGCCCTCAACCAATTCTCAGTCTTGAGCTAGTTCACAGACCCAGTGTCCCTAGAATAAAGAGGATGGATCCTCTTTAGGAATCCTAACATACTGCCAAAAGCTTATACTGTATGTAAATCTTTCTCCTAGCCTTCCTCAAAGAAACATGCAACCATTTACCCGGGTGACCACGTACTGAGGAAGGGGAGTTACTCACATATACCATGGATAACTGGACACTGGATCAGAACTGACACTAATTTCTGGAGACCTAATATGCTATTGTGGTTCACTAGTTAGGTAGGAGCTTACAGAGGTCAGTTTTGGCTAAAGTCTATCTCCACTGGGCCCAGTAGGTACCTGAACCCACATAGTTATTCCCCCAGTTTGGAATGCATTGTTATAAAAGACAAATGCAGAGACTGGCACAATGCCCATAGCAGTTACCTGACCCATGGAGTGAGGGATTTACAGAGGAAAACAAAACAGAAAAAAAGCAATTGGAAGTCACCAAAACTTTTACCTACCAAAATAGTAAATCAAAAATAAGGCCACATTCCTGGAGAGACTGAAGAGATTAGCCCCTCTGTTAAAGAGTATAAAGGGGTGGAGATTCCAACCACATCAGCATTTAACTCATCTGTCCGGCTAGTGCAGCATACAGATGG